TTAAAATAATTTCAAAACTTTCATATAAAAGTATAATTCTTTTATTTAATTTCAATTAAATCCAAAAACTTTCGTATAAAAATATTATTCTTTTATTTAATTTACAATCAAAAACTTTTTAATTAAAATCATCTCTTTTTTTCCTTTTTCCTTCAAACATAATAATAAAAAAAAACATTATTCATTTTAAAAAATACACAACACTCTACAACATCAATCACCATATCTCTATCATATACTCATAATTACAACATCTCCCATCCTTTACATTCCTCTCTCGGCCTCAATTGATCTTGATGCCTACAATATACTATCATTTTCATCTTTAACCTGTATATAACACTACCAATTATTTCTTCCACCTTCCCCATCGTCCATCGGAATTTTCCTTTAAACATTAAAATATACACTTCTTGTCCTAGGCAAAATTTACTAGATTTCACTACAAATCCAACTTTTTCATTTCCTCCTTCTTTTAACGAATCCAGCATTAACAATGTCCTTCCTCGCAAAAAAATTTCTGCAGGAGATCCATTTTGATTCCTGCTATTATTGTAAAACATTTTGCAAAAACCATCTTTCCCCATCACCATACCTTTCCCTTTTCAACCACGATTTCACCACTGCAACCATTCTCTCGGCCTAACCATTGGAACTGGGATGATTTGGAGCCATTATAACATGCTTTACACCATGCCTCTCACAAAAAGCCTTAAACGCTACACTTGTAAACGCCGTGCCACCCATCCTATATCATCTTTACCATTCCATATTTCTCAAAAAATTCCTTCAATTTTCGTATAACTATAACTGTGACGTTAATCACGACATCTTTGAGCAATCAATCTATTTGGAAAAAGCATCCACTATAAGTAAATAATACTTTTTCTTCCATTCAAAAAAATCTAAATGTATCCTTTCACATGTCTGTATAGTTTCCTTCCAGCTATCACCCTTCCTCCTTCTGGGTAGATTTGACCAAACATTACAAGTTAAACACTCTCTGCCGACCTTTGCAATATCCTCCTGCATTGATGGCCACCATACACATTCTCTAGGCCATTGTTTCATTCTACTTACCCCTTGATGTCCCGCATGCAACATTCTGACTACTTTATCTCTCAATATTCGCGGTACTATAGTACCTCTCACCAAAAAGTCATCTATAATTGTTATTTCTTGTTCCACCAATCTGTTTTATATTATCATTCCTTTCCCAATTTTTTCGCTTATTAAACATTGCTTAATTTTTTTTAACTCCACATCTTTTATTGTACATTGTTTTATTTCTTGCCAAATCACTGGACCATTCCTGAAAGATAACTTCCTAATCGCTCCATTATCATAATTATTCTCATCGTTCATTATATCTTCCTCGATACATAATCTGGATAACATCTGGCAAATGATTAATCCTTCCTGTTCTATAACTTACCTCCACATTAAAACTTCCCACTAACAACAACCACCTTTGCAATCTAGGAGACAGCATCAATTCCTTGTTATCTTTCTTGAATAGAAACATTAACGGCTTGTGATCGGTATATATAATGAATCGGCGCCCTATCAAATACTCTCTGCATTTCATGAGCCCAAATATAACCTCCAATGATTCTTTTTCAATAACCGAATGATGCTCCTTCGCCGGTCTGAACCTTGGCGAAAAATATATAACAGGCCTTTCCTCCTTGTCCAATATTTGTAAAAGTGCTCCTCCCACACCCCTCACAGAAGCATCCACTGATAAAATCACCACTTAATAATTATCAAAACATAATAAAATAGGTTTTCTACATATATTATCCTTCAACTCGTTAAAACTTCTTTCCTGAATTTTCAACCATCTGAAAGGTGAATTATCTTTCAACAAGTCATATAATGGAGCGGCTATCTCTGCAAAAGTTTCAATAAATCGATGATAAAAATTTATCATTCTCATAAACGACTGCACTCCTTCTTGTCCTTTGGCCATCGCATATTTTTTATACCCTCAATATTTTTACTTAATGGCGTGACCCTTCTGTCTTCTATTATATGTACTAAATATATTGCCCTCGTTACTCAAAACATACTCTTTTCTCTATTTGCACGCAATCCCCTCATTTTGATAAGTTGTAATACCTTCTCTAATCTTTTATTATGTTCTTCCATGGACCTCCCACTAATCAACAATCCATATAATAAAAAATTCCCTCCATTCCTTGAAAAATTGAATTCATTGCTCTTTGAAAAATTGGCGCCGACACACTTAATCCGAATGGTAACCGCTTAAAATTGAACAATCCCTTTTGCGTCGTTATAGTCAACAGTTTACTGGTCTCTTCGCTAACTTTTAACTGTAAATATGCATTAGCAAAATCCACCTTTGAAAAATACCTGGCCCCTTTTAGACTAGCTAAAATTTTATCGATTCGCGGCAACGGAAACTTTATCTCCTGCACCCATTTATTTATCTTGATCCGAAAATCAGCACATAAACGCAGAGTACCATTGGGTTTTCTAATCGGCACTAGCGGTGTCGCCCATTTACTATTATCCACTGACGCTATTATTCCCTCCTGCACTCATCTGTTTAACTCTTTTTCTATATCATCTCGCCATTCAAAAGGAACTCGACGAATTGGACAATATTTAGGTATCGAATTATCTCTCAATTTTATATTCACCTCAAAATTGTTTAATGACCCAGTTCCTTTATAAAAATCTCATTGTAGCGTATCCATAATTCATGCATCTCTAGTATATATTTATCTTCCAGCACCTTATTTGCTTCCTTAACCATATTATTGTCATTTATTACTATTACTTCATTTCCATCTTTATTCATCCAAACCTTGTTCCCCTTTTCAATATCTTCTCCCGTATCCTCTATTTCATTATTTTCCCTTAAACCCCTCTCCTCTTCAGAATTCATATTTATATTATCATTATTTGTGTTATTTATTTTATCATTATTTTCATTATCCATTTCCATAACACCATCATTACTTTTGCATATTTTATCTTCATCAGTATCTTTGTTATTATTATGTTTGATATTATCTTCTCCCTTGGTAATTTGTCTCCCTCATTAGAGTTATTTATATTATCGTCACTAATCCTTTGTAATTGTTCATCCTATATTCCCTTTATTATGTCAACTATATTTAAGAATTTTTCCTCGCCACAATTATCTTGAGAATGGAAATAAGCTATCTTATCCGTTAATGTTTCCCTGGCAAAAGTTTCATTATCAGGCCTACTAAAACTATTATTATTTAGTACCTCCTTCAATTACGAACATACAAAATCTTTCATTACTTTTATACCCTTATTACTTATTTTAACCTCATCCTCTACTTTATTATTACCCCGATTATTATCTCCTTTATACAATTTATTTGCACACGTATATCTCGGAAAACCATTAATATTATAATTTTCCACTTTTATTTTATCTATTTCATTAATCTTATATTTATTATCCTCCTTATTAATACGATATTTAACATGCTCATCGTCAACATATTTCTTAATAATATTACCATTATTATTTTTTTTATTCACACAATTTTTACAAAATTCTCCTTACATTTTTGTACCTTAAATAAATTCCACCATGCATTACTTGGACCTATATTCTTAATATTATCCCATCCTAATATCGGTTCAGTTTTCTGGGTGGTCAACCATAATTTAATACTACTATCTATACATGGTACTTCTATTATATAAAATCCTAAAATTATTATTCCATCAAACTGAGTTACCTTCATCTTTTCCTTTGTAAATGTATGCCCGGGTAAATCTTATTGAATTGCTTAACACTCATCACACTGATTACTGAACCTGTATCTAACAAAAATTTGAGTATACATCCTGATAACATGACATCAAATCTAGGACATTTCTCTAACTCCTCAAAATCTATATTGTTTATATTATTATTACATTTACTTAAATTTATATTATTACAAAATTTTAAATTATCACTACTACTAAATTTATTATTACATATTATCAATTTATTATCTATATTACTACTTAATAATCTATAACTATTAATTTTATTATTATCTAGTCATCTATTCATATTTACAAAACTCTTCTAAATGTCCAAACTTATTACATTTATTGCATCTTATGGCTCTACAATTTATTTCTCAATGTTCCCCTCGACCAATCTTATACAATTCACAGGTGTATTACCACACATCCGTGAAATATGACCTCCTTGACCACAATTATAACATATAATTGCCCCTGTCCTTTCATTACTTCCTACCCCCTTATTACTCATAATTTCTTTCTTAATATTTTCTATAACATCCCTATCAAAAGTAATCTGTATAACTATTTTTTGGCCCATCCATCTACCACAAACGAAAACCGATAAAATTATTACCAGTGCAATACATATAATAATTAAATAATCCTCTAAGAAATTATTTTTTAACATATACATCTTATATATCTTATAACGAGTTTATTAACATCTTAATTAATAAAATCTTCAAATTATTGATATAACAATACAATATACCTATAATAAATATTATGAATAATATAGAATAATTCATTTATTAATTTTTCTTTATAAAAATATTTAATAAAAATTGAAAAATCTAAAGGTCTATCTTACCCCCCTTTTTGTATGTTCGTAATTGGGTTTCGGCACCAAATTATTATAAACGATGACAAAGAGAGGCTATTATAATATTATATATTTTGAATTAATGAACAAAAGATTCTTTTATTTCATCTTCATCAAAATCCGAATAATAATTTATTGACATATTCTTGACATTCCATTGAAATTTATAACAAAATAAAACTTTAATTACAACATTAAGGCTGCATCAAAATCTGATTTATTTTTCTTAAGCATTAATGTAATAAGATGCAATTGTTCTAAGTTCTAAACAATTATATATTAATACATTGCTTACATAAAATAAATAAGCTTTGGACTTAGCCTAATAAAAAATAATAAAAAAATAAATTATATCCATATATATTAGGCTTACATGTCTGCCATATCAAAAATTCATTGTTTATATTGGATTATAATTCGCATTCCATTTTAAGCGTCATAATATACATTGAAGTAAGGAATAATCTATTAACAATGTTTTATAGATTTTTTTTCTCTATAGAATTGTGCTCTTTCACAAAATTTTAGAATCGCTAAAATTATTCAAGTGGGTAGTTATAGCCTGATTCCATATTCAATGATAATAATAGCAAGCTTGTGTTTATTAGGGTTGATTATTATCACAGGAGTATTAATTAACAAATTATTTAGACATAACTCTCTTGGCAAAAATAATCCGCAGTTGCATAAACTATACAAGGATAATCCATCAAATCCAATAAATAAAGGCAATAATTCCAACGCTACTCTCAAAGATTCAACAATAAGTAAATAGGAAAATTACATATAATAATTTCAATAAGATATATGAATAATTCATTCGATCATACATTTTGTTTGCCACGTATCAAAAATATATGAAGATGTGTTAAGAAAAATTATTTTTACTAAATAGGAATTTAACATGTGCGCGACTTAGTCCCAAAAAAATCTAACCATTTGATCATTTAAATTTTTTGATGAATTTTATTAATTAAGGTCTAAATAAATGTATAGAATCTTTTTCTTATTATCCCTCAATTCTCTAAGATATTTATATTCCGTCATTGAAAACCAGGATAAATGTGTAAAGAAGAATTTTAAAAAAATATTTTTAAATAAACATCATTTTAAATGTAAATTTTATTATTTTTTTAATAGGGGAGACCGGGGATCTTATAAACCTTATGTTTTTACTAGTCATTGGCTTTTCTTCTAAAGTATTAAACTATAATAGTTAATCTTTTACCATAAATATATAGCTACATTATGCCTATGGGGTTAAAAATAACTTTTATATTGGATCACATATGAAATTTTTATTACTCAATGCATGTATATACCCGCAAAAGTAACTTTAAAATGCTGCAATTTATCAAAAATAAAAAGTAATAAAGGCTTTAACTATCTAATTACTATCTTAAATGACCTATTTTATATTAAATTATACTAGATATGTTTATAAACATTATTATTAAATTTAAAAGATGGTTGGAGCTATTCTCGGGGTTCATAAAAGCCTTAAGCACAATTTAAGGCAGTATTTTAGCTTATTTAATTAAAATGGTAAGAAATTATATTAAAACATTAATAAATAACAAATAAAGAAATTAATATATTTAGAGAAAATTTTTCCTGACAGTAACTTATTATGGTCAAGGTACCATATCTGCAACAGTTGTTATTTATTGATTTTTCACATATAAATTTTTGAATTGAAATAATTTCACATGTGATTCTCATGGCTCGAAGATTGTACTGTAACATAAAAAACATTTAAAAAATAATTATTTTTGAGTGCGCTTGATGCTCTTTTCTACAATTTTAAAATGCCATATATTTTAGGTTCCATGATTGAATGAGTATTTATTTTTTATAATGAAATTGACATAAATTTATTTCTTATAGATGCCTTAACATATTCTATTTAAATTTGGCCCATCATTCTATCTATTTTAGGATTGCTAATCACCTGTTTTTTATTGTACCATTTATGCAACGAAAGTAAAAATTTGGCATAATATTTTATAAATATTTGTTTACAAAAATACTATATTTTCATCAAAATATTTTTATATTTATAAAAAAATTTCAGAAAATTCATAATTTTATTGTTATTCTCATTATTTTATTGTAGATAAAAATTATTTGTAAATTTTTTAATATCTATATTTGCCAAATTTTCTATTATCTTGTATTTGCCAAATTTTTAAAATTAGAATATTATTATGACAAAACAATTTCTAAAGTTGATGAAACCCTATCGATACTTTGAGACGTTGTAATTATACTAGTGATCTGCATCGGGCCTAATTTTTCAAGCCTGGCCCGGCCCGAAATTTTTTTTTAAAAAGTTTTGCCAGCCCGACCTGAACCTGAAATTTATTTTTAAAAAATTAACCAGCCCGGCCAGGCCCGAGTTTGTTTAAATATAGAAATTAATTTTTATAATTACTAAAAATAAAAGACATATGTTATATAGCGTTTAGTTTCAATAAATTAAATCAAAAATTTTTATTTTACATAAAAAATTCAATATCAAATCGATAAATTTAAGATACATTAAATAAAATTTCCAAGGTCCGACCCGACCCGGCCCGAAATTTTTTTAAAAATATTAGGCTCGGCCCGGCCCTAACCTGATTATTTTAAATAGAAACGGGTCGGGCCTAAATTTTCAGATCTCTAAATTATACCTCCTAATACTGCTTTAATTAGTGATGAAGAAGATTTCGATGAGAACGATATAACCGACACACCTAATCTTCCATTAGATACTGCAGGGGTGATCGAGATCCATAATCGAGCAGATATTAATTGTCTCAGAATACTCGATATCTATAAATCAAGAAAGCAAATTAAATTTTCGAAATAATTTAAAATGGAGAAAAATTGATCCAATTTAACCTATTGATAATGATTAGGAATTATTTTTGATCGTGGATCAATCGCACAATTACTCCAAATACAACCGAGTCATAGATGAAAAAATTTATAGGAGTTCTTTTGATGACTGGTTATCATTCCTTATTGCAAGAAAGAATGTATTGGTTGAATGACAATGATATTACTATACAATCGTTAGGAATTCAATGACACAACATACATTTCGCGATATCAAATACATTTATCTAATAACTCAACTTTTAATGAAGAGGATAATATTTATCAAGTCCGCCCATATTTAAATTTACTAAATAAAAAGTTTCAACTATTCTGTATATTTTCACATAATTTATGCATGGATGAGCAAATAATACCTTATCGAGGAGACATTCCTGTAAAGTGTTGGTAAACCCATTCGATTTGGATATACACCTACTTCCTTCGATGGATATATAAAAGCCCAATGGCTTCGAATCTTGGATTAGGAGGTACGGTTGTTACAAATACTCAAAGTTGTCCAACTTCTTTGCATTCTATTTACTTCGATAATTTTTTTCATCTCTAAGGCTTTTATCGCATTTGAGGCATCTTGGATTTTTCGAAACTAAGACTATAAGAGAAAATAGACTTGAAAATTCTCCCCTAGAAGCAATTAAAGTTATGGCAAAAAAAGAGAGGTACGACTGATTTGAAAAGACATTATTTGTAGTTCGATGTAATGATATTTCAGTTTTGACCCTTTCATCAACATGTAAAGCTCTTCGCCCTCTAAGCACCATATCAAGATTCTCTCAAAAGATTTTCTCAAAAATAAAATTACTCAACCTAATCTTATAAATTCATATAATTTCAATATGGAGGGCGTTGATCTGTGCGATAACCTAATAATAAAATAAATATATGAGATAAAAAAATGGTGATGGCCTATTTTTAGTAATTTTATTGGCGTAGCAGTAGTAAAGTCATAGAAGTTATGGAATCTAGGGAATCCCGATGATAAAAAAAACATTTCGGAGGGAAATAACTACACTTTTGAAAACTCATCTGGTAAATAAAAAGATGAGTACAATTAGAGGCTATCCTTATCATTTTTCCTCACTAAGAGGGAAGTACCTGAAAATCTTATGGTCATTATGGTACAACTATTATCGATAACAAAAGGCAACATCGTACGCTTTGTCATAGTCATATAAGATATAGATACAGTGTTGTGATGATTTAATGAAACATATTGACGATTAAATTTAAACCCATTCATATAAAATGATAATATTTGCAAAAATAATTAAAATATAGACAAAGCATTATTTAAATTTCTTTAATTATTTCTTTTGTTGTACATTTGTAAAGATTATATATGCATGTGTTTAAATTAAATCGTCAATATGTTTCATTAAGTCATCACAACACTGTATATGTAACAAAAATTTCATAAAATATAAAAATTACAAAAAATTGTATCTTATAAATATAAAATATGTAAATAAATTTGTAATTATCTATCGTATTTCGATTTTTTGCAATAATATAATTTTATCTTATTTTTATATCCCTAATGGTCAACGTTACAGATATGCAACAGTTCAGATTTCCTATTTAAGGTGATTTTCTTCGTGTCGATTTTTATGATTTCTTAGTTAGCCTAAAATAAATAAAATTTGAAAAAATCAGGAATTTTTATCTGCTGGGAAAAGTGTGACCATTAATGGGTTAAGTTAAAAAGATATGCAACAAGATTTAATTAGTTACATCAAGACCTATATTTATAAAAACAGGAAATCATAAGATTTGAAGAAAGCTCAAATTTATAATAACCATTCGGGTCAGTTAATGAATATTATAGACAAATTTATTATGAAGTTTTAGATCATACAATTGTAAGTATAAAAAATTATTTAAACAAACCGTAGTAGATCAATTAATGTAGGGATATGAACCCGGACCCTGAATCCTCCTAAGCCCTGGTATTTTGTCTAAACCCAAGCCTGGGCCCGGACGACCCTTTTTAAAAGTGGAAGGTTCAACTAGGTGTCAAAAAAATATTAAAAAAATTTTTTTCTTCTCTTAATATTATAAATAAATTAAAAATTTTCCTCTATTTTTTTTTCTCTCATTTTCCAAAATTTTCTGGTTTTTATAATTCCATTTTAAAGATAACAATTGTCAATTTATATCATTTTCAACAAGTGAAATATTCTGAATTTTGTAGTGTAGGTAATAATATTTTATATTAAATGATAATTTATTAATATGATTAGTCTTGTTAAACAGCTCGTTTTGAGCCGATTTTTAAGAACGGCTAACTCAATATTTCATCTAGAATAATATTACCCAAACAAAGGTTTGGACATCTATTAGCGAAATCTCAAGGGCTTAGGCAATATTTTTCTGGCTAAAATATTGAGTTAGCCGTTTTAAAAAATCGGCTCAAAAATGGCCGTTTAACTAAATATGATATAAAGTAGGGAGCTTATTATATTTTATATCAATTTTAGAGAGTAAAATATTGGAATGTAGTAGGCACGTAATCAAGTGGGAGGGACAACCCAAATTTGCCTATTCTCGTAAATATCATCTTAAGCTGATATTTCCCATATACACTCCTCATACCCAAAAATTTATAAAGAATATGAAAGAAAAATTAGTAAATTATTAACTTTTTAAAATAACGACTATAAATTCAAAATTTTAGAAAGAAACATTTTTATAAAAAAAAGTGAAAACCCAAAATTATTTTTATAAAAATGTAATATACCCAAAGTCTTACAGTCTAAAGATATTCAATAAAATTTATAGGGAAAAACCTCACCTAATACAGGCTCCCCCCTCTCCTTAACAAAATCCTGAATACGCATATGTTTTGTAGTGTAGGTAGAGGTCTACAAAGTTTTTGTCTGAGCCC